ATAATTTGACCTGCCTACTCAAAATTTTTAAATACAGGTTTTGTCTAACAGGGATTTTATTTTATTTTTTTAGAAGCCATATTGGTTAAGTGTGAATTGCCCATCTTTTTTACAGTCTCTGCTCTGTGAGTTTATACAAAAAGTCTAGTAGGAGACAGCCGTGGGAGTAACACTATTTCCCCCTAACCACAGGAAGGGATTTTTACAATACTTCTTAGAGGCGCAGAGCCGGGTACCTCGCCCATCAGGAAACAGGGAACTGTTCCTGCAGTTGGAAAGTGGCTTTATCCGAGATAATCCATTCCATAAACTTCCTCTTAAGGAGAGATGATCCAACTGATGGGCATTTTTTTTTAAAAAATACTCAAATGTCCTTATATGGAAAAAGGGCCCTTGTCTTAGTTTCTTTTCCTTTTGCTCTGAAAAAAAATACTTGGACAAAAGCAGTTTGCAAAGAGAAAGGCTTTATTCTGGCTCACAGTTCCAGGTACAGCAAGCACATTGCAGTGGGGGAGGGAGCTCAAAGCAGCTGGTGGCATCGCAGCTATGATAGAAAGCAGAGAGGTGGTGGTGATGGATTTTCTTTTCCTTTAGCCCCACATTGGAACGCTTAAATGTTGTTTGTTTGTTTTACTCTTTACTCTTTTGGCTTTTGTGGTGGGGGGTTGCTACCAGGCTCCCAAATAAATCACACATGGAATCTTATTCTTACTGATAATACTTAGGATAATACTCCACAATATAGTGGAATGAAAGCGTTTTGCTGCTCAGCTCCCTTTTTCCACTTATGTAGTCCAGGAGCCCACCTAGGGAGTAGCACCACACACAATAGGCAGGTCTTCCCATCTTAGATATTTCAGTCAGATAATCCTCTACATATGCTCAGAAGCCCGTCTTCCAGGCAATTCCATAGTCTGTCAAGCTGACATTAACACTCGGCAGCATCTCTTTAAGAGAACCACACTTAAAATTAATAAATAACTTGTGTTTAAAAAACAATAGACAGCTGGGCACTGGTGGCGCACAACTTTAATCCCAGCACTTTGGAGGCAGAGGCAGACTGATCTCTGTGAGTTCAAGGCCAGCCTGGTCTGCAGAGAAAGTTCCAGGACACTTAGGACTGTTATATAGAGATACCCTATTTCAAAGGGAAAAAAAATAGAAGAAAAATAATATACATGTATGTTCAGCTTTATAGAAGGATGGACTTCTGTTTTTAGAATTCAGTGCATTTTATTCATCATATTACACTATTTTTACTATAGATCAAAGTGCATCTGTACAACCATGGAGTCAGACAGAGTTTAAAAAATCCCAGGTGAGCCAGGTGGTGGCGGCGCACGCCTTTAATCCCAGCACTCGGGAGGCAGAGGCAGGCGGATCTCTGTGAGTTCGAGACCAGCCAGGTCTACAAGAGCTAGTTCCAGGACAGGCTCCAAAACCACAGAGAAACCCTGTCTTGAAAAAAAAAAAAAAAGACAAAAAAAAAATCCCAGGTGGTCTCTGATACTCATATCTGAAAGACCTAGAGAACAAAAGGATATGCCTTTTCCTTAAGAAATACAGAAAAGAACAATAACTCAAATAGCTTATGCTTCAGTAGTAAATAAGAGAGAACATGGCTGTGTGGTCAGACAGTTATTTTTATCATCTAGGCATAATTTTTTAAAGAAACAGAAATCAATAGTGTTATAAAAGCCACTTACGCTCTGAGCTTGAAGCAACTGCTCTCTGCCGTAAAATTCCCCTCGCTGCTTCCGTTAGTGGCTGAGTAATTCAGTGTGTCTTGAATGTCAACGTTTTTATTACACAGCTGATGCTGGCTTTGCTGGATTAAATGTCATTTAGAGTGATCAATTGGAAGCTTGTTTAGGGTTATTTCCAAATTTATGAAAGGGGAAAAAGTTGCAATACACATGCTCGTGAAGCTTTCCAGAGAAGTCTGTTGTCTGGCAAGCCTGGCCCTGCAGTTTCCACTCATTGGACATATCATGCAGCCACATTCTGGAACCAGTTTGATATCTCTGAAGAGACCAGCTTGAACCCCCAGGGCTGGGTAAGCCTTTAGCTGAAGAAATCATTCGAGGGACGCTGTGTAGTTTCATGGTACCAAGAATGTGCCATGGTAGTAAGAGAGAGAAAGTGTGATAGGAAATCCCTGTGCAGGTGGGGGCGGAGGTCAGGAGAGATGTCCACACTAAGTTTGAACTCTGCAGGAGGCCTGGAGCCCAGAGGACTTCAGTTGCCTTATGTTAGCCTTATTAAGGTGAGCACACTGGAGCCAGGCTTGGTGCACACCTGCAAATCCTCTTACGGGGTAAGTGAAGGCAGGAGGATTCTGGGATGTACTGGCCCATCAGTCTCAGTCTATTTGATCATTGGCCTTCAGGGTCCATGAAAGACTATGTCTCAAAAAATATCGTAGGTAGCAATTGAAAATGCAGTGTTGATTTCTGACCTCCATGCGCACGTGGACTTAAGCTTAGGCACATGCACACATGGTTGCTGCCACCCGGGCATGCAGACTGGACCGTGTGCACACCTTTGCTTCCCCTCACTGAATAGCATTTTATGGGAATGTGCTTGGCTTAGGGAGATGTTCTGCAGTTGGGTGAGACTGCAGGAAACTCAGATGTGCCCACCGTTTGCCATCCGTGCCACCAGACCTGGACAAGGGAGCTTCGGCTCTGTTCTTGTCTCGGTCTGTTCAGGCTGCTGGAACACAATGCCGTAAGATGACTTACAAACAGCAGGAATTCGCCTCACATGGCGCTGCACTCCAGTGACTCAGCACTCGGAGGGTGACGATAGGAAGGGCTGTATACTGAAAGTGTCTCCAAAAAAGCAGGAAGTATCGGAGAAGAGCGAGGAAAAGGGCGTAGAAAGGATTGTGCCACAGATTTCTGGAGGCTGCAGGGCTGAGGGGCAGAGCGCAGCAGGGCTGAAACCTGCTGCTGAATGGGCTTCCTCACCCCTAGATAGCCTCTTCTTGCTGTGTCCTCACAGGTAGATATGTAAGGGATCGTTTAGAGATTTTTTTTTTTTATAAAGGCACTAATGGGGGCTAGAAAGCTGCTTGGGAGTACTTGCTCTTCCTGCAAAGACCCCAGGTTCAGTTACCAGCACCCACATGGCAGCTCCAAGTCTAGGGGATCCAGTACCCTCTTTTGGCCTCCATAGGATCCCACATGCATGTAATAAACATTTATCCACACAGGTACACATAAATAAATAACATGCACATTCACCTATAGGTCTTCTGTTCCAAGCCATCTGGTCAACCCCCTGGAACCATGCAGTAAGCAGCTGGAAAAGGCATCTTCCTACTCTTAGCCAGGGGCCAATCCAACACTAGCAGGACATGGGAGGCACATGTCTGTCTCTGCTTTACCTGTTGGGCTAAGCTGGAGAATGAACCAGATAGACCCAGAAAGGCAAGGATCCACTGGACTGAGCAGAATACAGGGCTGCACTACATCAGCTGATGAATGTTTGCTGCCTGACCTCATCATCGGGTATCAGTTGTGCACATGAGAAATGACTTTCTTGCACCGAGTTCCTTTCTACCATGATTCCATTATGATAAAGCAACTTGAAAGACTGCCAAAGAATGATTTAATGAGACTATCTATCTGTATTTCTTTTTAAAATGCTAGCCACAGTCCCCACGGCCAACGTCACCAAGCCACAAAGTTTTTAATTTCCCATTGTTTTTCATTTATTGCTTGCTTTTTAGCCCCTGTCTTCCTCTATCCATTCAGCATCTCCTGCCAACTTCAGAATAATCTTTAAACTCTAATCTTTTAACTGTTTCTCACGCTGTTCTCATTAGAACCTCAAGGTTTTCTTTCTGGTCTTGGGAAATGGGTCATTCAGTAAAGTGTTTGCCACGTAAGCATGGAGACCTGATAGTGACATCCCAGTGCTCACATAAGAAGTCAGACATGACAGTACATGTCTGTAAACCCAGCTCTCGGGAGACAGAGACAGGGGGAGTCCTGGAGCTTGTCTCGAAAATAAATGAATAAATAAGGTAGATGAAGGGGCTGGAGAGGAAGCTCAGTGGAGTGAATGTTTGCTATGTAAACAGAAAGACCTGAGTTTCAATCCCTTGCACCACGTAAAAGTTAGGCATAGCCATGCATGGCTGTAACCCCAGAACAGGACAGGGATGGATACTGCAGGGTCCTTAAGCTTGCTGGTCAGCTATCCTAGTCAGAACGGTGAGTTTCAGGTTCAGCGAGACCCTGGCTCAAGACAGGAAGGTAGATAATGGTGGGGGAGGACACCCGGTGTCTCCTTGCTTTCTAGTGTGAACACATGTGCCACACACTCTGCCTTCCTAGTGTGTGCACGTATGCCACACACTCTGGCTTCCTAATGTGTACACATATGCCCATACGCTCTCCCTTCTAGTGTGTGCACGTATGCCACACACCCTGGGTTCCTAATGTGTACACGTACGGCCACATACTCTGCCTTCCTAGTGTGTACGCATACACCACACACACTCACATAGAAAAAGTTAGTAATAAGATGGAGAGTGATTGAGGAAGACACTTACTTGTGTCAACCTCTGGCCTGCACAGACACACGCGCACACATGCGTGCGCGCGCGCGCGCGCGCACACACACACAGACTGTCTTCCATTGTCCATCTAACCATTTTATAGCCCCCTGTCAAAGCCTGTTTATTCATTTGCAGGTACAGCTTGGTGCCTTATCCTTCAGATGGGCTGGTTCACCTTCAGGTTTTGTCACGACTTTGAACAAGTCTTTTCCTCCTCCTTGGTCCTCATATAGAGGTGATGACCTCGGTCAGCACCCAGCCTTCCTGGGTCAGAGGTCAACAGGCTCTCACTGGACCCATTTCATCTGTGAAATGAGGAAATAAGAGAGTCAAAACCAGGCCCAAGCTGTGGTTACAAACCCTTTTTCTGAATCTTGTGACGGCCTCCACAACAATCCTTGTCAACAGCACTCTCCCTTTTCCTCTGTAGACTGTAGACTGCTTTGGGATTACGTCTATCAGTTGCTCTCCGACAGCCGGTACGAAAACTTCATCCGATGGGAAGACAAGGAATCCAAAATATTCCGGATAGTGGATCCCAACGGACTGGCTCGCCTGTGGGGAAACCATAAGGTAAAAAGGCCAAATATTTGTTGGGAAAGCTGGTGCCAAAATCGCCTTCCTCCGCGAGTTGGAAGATGGCTGTCTTCCCTGCCTCCTGGGTCTGCTCGTGATTATTTGTTTCTTCCCTCGCTGGACAAACAGTTAGGTAGCTGTGCAGGAAGGAAATGATTAAAGATGCCTTTTTCCATGTGTTGCCTCTGTCCAGGGCCCATTAACCCAGCAGAGCTCTGTTCAGTAGAAGGATTGTAAGGGTCCCCCCCACCCCCGCAGCCACCCTCCTTGACCTGGACCTGCCTCCCCCTGTGGTCCTTAGGTACTGGGGAATAGGGAAGTAGTGAGAGCTGTATGACTCACCAGGGACCTTTGGGAAGTGTCACTTCTGTCCCCAGCAGTTGGAAACTCCCTTTTTCACAAAAGTCCATTTCTGCATGGAAAATATGTTCTGATTATAAAACACCCCCTTTGCGAGGAAGAGGTGCAAAAGAGCCTGCCCCCACGGTTTTCCAAAGTAAAAAGAGGAAGTGGAATTCAAAACATGGTCCTGTATAGTAAGGAAGACGACGGTTCAAGTGTGCAGATATGAAAAAGAGATAACTGTGGCCAGGCCAGCTGACATAGAAGGAACTCTAGGACCAAACCAGGGGTGGAGGTGGGGAGGTGGATACTGAGGTGGCACAGCTGGGCCTCAAGCCTCCTAAGCAGGCAGCCTGAGCCCTTTTCCAGCTGAGGAAGTGCAGCCAAAGGCCATGGGCAAATATGCTGAGGACCCATAAACAGATCTGTAAGTGCATGAGTCGCTGGGGGACCTTCTGCGTACTGCCCATCAACAATGACAGACCAGAGCCAAGTGTGAAAACATCATTGCGACAAAAAAAGAGATTTTATGTGCTCTAAGACGTGAAGGATGAACCACCTGTCTCCCACCCAAGATAGAAGAAGCTAGGTGCCATCTCGGGAGGAGGAAATGAGGGCGGTTACCGTGGGATGTGCTAGGCTAGTTAGCACTCAACTAGGGCAGTTGAGTTTCAGAGGGGGCCTTGGCCACAGTGGCTCTGAGGGCAGGCAGCAGACTCGCAGGTGGAGTTCCCAGGCCGGTGAGGCCATATGGAGCAACTCAACAGCCTTTATTTTAACAGCCGCCTGGTGCCTTCTCTGTGCCTCAGTTCATTGTGTCTTTGTGTTTTTTTTTTTCTCTTTCCCTTCCTCCTTTGAACAAACAGAACAGAACAAACATGACCTATGAGAAAATGTCCAGAGCCCTGCGCCACTACTACAAGCTAAACATTATCAGGAAGGAGCCCGGACAAAGGCTTTTGTTCAGGTAGCGCTTCCTCTTTTTCCTTTCCTTCTTTTGGGAGGATGTGATTTTCCTTACATGAGAGGGAGGAGGGAGACAGTTAAGAACTCTGACTCGCCTTGCTGAGACCCAAAGCCATGATTGCAAATACTGTTGATTGGAAACTGGGTGCTGGTTTGTTAGGATTTAAGGTTTAAAAAAATGATTCTTTTTGCTTAAGTCTGCCCTGTATTAAAGCCAACGCTGAGTGACTCACCTTTAAAATAACATAGTGACCAAATAGCATTATCAGACATTGAAGTCTGGTGGAGTTAAGGGAGCCATCAGAGTAACTTGCCGATTGCAAAGTGATGGATTAAGCAGGAACTTCCAGGTCACCAAACCTGGAAGCTGCTTTGTCAAACTTCAGGTTGTGACCCACAGTGAGTCATTGTGTGGGTGTAAATGGTCAGCAATAGCCTTTTTAATAAATAAATAAATAAATAAATAAATAAATAAATAAATGAAATAGAGAATACAACATGGTGGAATTAGAAATACCAAATTATAGCTCATCAAACAAGACTGACCATTAATTCATAAAGATTTTGTTTACATGTGTGTATTCTTATATGTGTACATACATGTGGAGGCTGGAGGTCAGCCTCTGATGTCATTTCTCAGGCTCTGTCACCTTGAATTTTGAGATGAGGCCCCACTGGCGTAGGCTGGTTAAGGACCTCTGGGGGATCTCCTAGCAGCTGGGATTACTAAGCATATGCCACCGTGTCCCCTTCTGTGTGGGTGGGGACCGAACTCATGCTTGCATGGCAAGTGCTTTACCAACTGAGCCCCTCAAATCGTATGACTTTCAAAGGCGTCACAGTGAGAGAAGTGTGAAAGCCACCAAAGCAGGCTGCCCTCCCCCCTATTCGGATTCCCCATAGCTAACGGTTTCCAGCTGTTTCCGTTACCATGGAGATTGTGATTCCCAGCAGCAGAGGAAGGCACAGATGGAACCCTGACACCGTTGGTCACTGAGGGAGCGGGAAGAAGCGGGATGGATGAGTAGGACCTTAGGTTATAGGGGTTGCCGAGTAGGACACAAGGAATGACAGATGGGGCTGGAGATGGGGATTTGGATCGTCTGCGTACAGGCAGGAGAACATCCCGGTGTATGAGCAGGTGTGCTGACGGGAAAGTACTCATTAGGAGAGCAAGTAAGCCAGACATCAGCACTGAGGTGGAGTGGCAATGTAGGGACAGTAACAATCGTGATCATGTTCAAAAGAAACAGAGAAGACTGTTGAAGAAATGGCAGTAAAACGTAATAAACACGGAAGAGTGCTCCCTGCTGCCAGCTCAGGGCACACCTTTTCTTCATCTGTCACCCCAAAGCTTGAGCTCCCTGTTCTTTTATCCTAGACGACTGGATCCCACGGGGCTCAACTTCGTCAGCTCAGTCATTAGTCTTAAATCTAACTCTAAAAACCCTCCTGAAATTTCCAAGATTCTCGTATGAAGTGCCCACTGATACCATGTTAGTATTCCAGACATGGTTTCTGAAGGCGGGCATCATGGCTGAGGAATTCTGCCCAGAATGCTCTGTTCTCACCAGCTTACCATCGCTGTTTAAATAATCTTGAAGCTGGAGCCATCTTTGACTCTCTCTATATCCAAGTCAGTTACTTGGGTATGCACTACACTGTCTACTGGTCCTGCAGCATGGTCCCTCTCCAATTCTGTGTTGAGGGCCTGAAGCCTGGCGGCTGCATTTCCCAGGGATATAGCCAGCCGGTCTCAGGTTGAAGTCTGTGATAAACGTACTCATGAAATATATGATGGAGAGGAAATGCATTCTGGTTCCTCTGCCAGACATATATATCCCCTTAATTTTTTACATACGCCTACCTTCAAGGCCACCTCAAGTTGACTGTCCTTTATGAAGCCCTGTGCAGCTGCCCAACCACATATAGAAACCCACCTTACCATGTCCTGGTTTCCCTGTGTCCTTGAGTACGCCATAGCATTCATTTTTAATAGTATGTATGGGGCTGGAAAGATTGCTCATCAGCTAAGAGTAGATTACTGCTTTTGCGAAAGCCCCGGGTTCCGTTCCCAACACCCACATGATGGCTCACAACCACTTATAACCCCAGTTCCAGGGTGTCTGGTGCCCTCTTTGGGCCTCTTTTCAGGCTCCTGCATGCACACGGCACACATAAACTCAGGCAGGACATAGACATATATAAAAATAAATCTTTAAAACACCTTTAGCAATTGTGAATAGTATAGTTTAATAATATGCACGGGGGCTGGAGAGATGGCTCAGTAGTGAAGAGCACTGCCTGTTCTTCCAGAGGATTCAGGTTCGATTTCCAGCACCACATGGCAGCTCACAACTATCTGCGATTACAGTTCCGGGAGATTCAACACCATCACACAGACACACATGCAGGCAAAACGCCATTTGCATCTAAAATTAAAAATAAATAATCTTTTTTAAAAATAATATGCTTCATGAAGGCAGAATGTTGTATACTTAAATAAATAAATCTTAAAAAATGAAAATAAATAAAAAATAAATAAATAAAAATAATATGTGGGAAGCCTTCCTCGCCATAACTAAACCATAAGCTCCTAGGAGGCAGAGTTTTCAGAATTTTTTTAATTCTGTGCATACATTAGGGAAAGTTTGAATAAACATTTAATGACTGGCCTGGTGTGGAATATCAGAAGCTTACCATGGCAAAGTTGCCCGAAGGACAGGGCGGTTTTGAAGGCCAAATACAGTGGTTCTGTAAAGTTGGCCTGGGAGGATCTTGAGCAACTTCAGATGTTGAGGAAGAAGTCTTGGCAAGAAGACGAAAGTGAAAGACAGACAGTAGCCGCTGTGACATGCACTGCTCGGGGACCTTAGCCATCTGGAGCAGAGAGGAATGTCAGTAGCTGTGGAAGGTCCTCCAGAATCTGGGGAGAGGCTCTGAGCAAGAGAAAAAGGAGTGCTGTTAGAGAGGAAGCCAGGCTGGATAAAATGGTGGCTTGCTGGTATATGGCTTGCTGCAGTCAAGTGCAGTGGAGTGTGGTCAGTGTGCTTCAGGATGCTTAGGTCGACTGCAGTATGCACCTCTGGAAGGAGTCCAGAAGGTTCCAGATCAGGACAGTGCTGAAAATTTGCAAAAAGGCATGAGCCACAGTTTCTCTCAGAACTAGCAGACAGGAATGGTGAGTTACCAGACACCAACAGTGCACAAACAAGTGTTTCTTGCGGGGCAATGGCAGATGGGTCCGAGACTACATCCCTTCCTTGGAGGAATGATGAGAAGAAAAGTGTGTTTGAGGTAGTTCACAGGTGCGAGGCAGAGCATGAAAAACGGGAAAAGTGCAGACACTGTGGAGGCTAAAGAAAGCCTCATCCCCCACCCCACACCCAAGGAAGGACAGGACATTTGCAACCAGGCTCCCTCCCTGCACTGTGCATCTTTGGGAACACAGACTCTTTTAATCTTTCATTCCTTGCTCTAAAGGTTCATGAAAACCCCAGACGAAATCATGAGTGGCCGGACAGACCGTCTAGAGCACCTCGAGTCTCAGGAGCTGGATGAGCAAGCGTACCAAGAGGACGAATGCTGAGGACCCACCACGGCCTCACCGGCTGGCCAAGAAGAAACCTGCCCACGGGGACCGCTGGAGGTGTGCTGGAGCAGGCGGACTGGGGATGGCTAAGAAAGAAGAGGCCCAGGAACAGCAGGAACGCTTCTCTTCCAGACTGAGAGGGACCCAGAGCACCTTAGACAAACCACGCAGCAACGGCGGCGGGGCTGGAATTCTGGCGGAGGGCACAAGCCTGAGACTCACATGTCACATTTGCGTCTCCTTTGGACCTCTTGTCCTTAGCGCCTCACCCTCACCCTGCACCTGTTGTTAGTCTCACGGTGTTTCTGTTTTTGTTTTTGTTTTTTTTTTTTCTGTTTTTTTTTTTTTTAAGAACATGCAGTTTGACTATTCATTGTTCATACAGGGGAAGACATCACATGTTGTTTTCCTATGGAAATATATCTATTATATATATTATTTTTTATGCAAATCTCACAAAGTACGGCCAGCTCAGCTGGTCAGGAAAGAGACTTGCAGAAGGGATCAGGCTCCTCATTCTCCCGCCACATGGATCAGGTTTGTCCTCTTGCAGTTGGGTCTTGGATGAGAAAAAGAAAAAGAGAGAGATACTTTCAAAACAATGAAAGAGAAAGTTCTCTCTGTCCCCCTTCTGCCCCCCTTCTCTCATTCATCCTATCCCCCTCTGCCTTCTCTGCCTGCTGGTCCATGTCACATGCCTTTCAGCAGACCTAGCCTCGCTAGCACCTAAGCTAAAGAGTGACCCGGCTGTTCCCTGGCCATCAGCCCATAACCAGACCCCTGGGGCACCCATCTGAAGGAGATCAAACACCTCACAAATGCTGCTGTATTTCAGAAAGATCAGTGGAGGTCCAGTTATAAGATAGGCCAAAGGCTGGTCCAGTGATGTGGAAGGCCCTGGCAGCTTGGGATTATACTGAACAGAGTGCCACAAAGTGGGAAAATACGAGATGCTCACACAGACCTAGTAGTGGTCCAGGGTCTAGGCAGAGCTGTTCTGCAGTGAGGAACAGGTTGTGCAGGCTGGGGAGAAAGCAGAGCTGTCGGTTTCATTCCCAAGACTTCTTGCCCTTGTGGGATTGCTGCCACCCCCACTCCAGGTCCTAGCCTTTTGTTGCTTTTCTTTGCTGGTCTTCACTGAACATAGAAGAGAGGATCCTGGTGTGTGGTGTGCAGACTCGGCCACAGCTGGTATATGCACAACCAGCACAGACGGGAAAGTCCTCATTTCTGCTCCTGTCACCGCTGTATTTCGAGAAGACATATCTGTGGCTTTTTTCACCTCGACATAAGGTCGGTAGTATCTTCTAAGATGAGGGGAGTGCTTTGCCTTAGGACTTTTGATAGCAGAGATTTTTAGACGACTGTTTAGCTTCAAGGGAGATTTGGGTTTTGTTTTGTTTTGTTGGTTTTTCAAGACAGGGTTTCACTTTGTAGCCCTGGCTGTCCTGGATCTTGCTTTATAGACTAGGCTGGCTTCAAACTCCGAGATCTGTCTGCCTCTGCCTCCTGAGTGCTGGGATTAAAGGTGTGGATTAAACCACATCCAGCTTTTCCCCCCTTTTTAACCGTCCAGGTGAACTCTTTGAACGGCAATGTTTTTAACCCAGGTGATGAGGCCTGCCTTATCAACCACCGCTTGTCTTTCCTTTGTGTCTTCCACACCCTGAGTGAACATCTCCCTGCCCTCTGTGTGTGTGTACTCGACCAGAGGCAGTACACAGGTGAAGCTCGCAGAGCGAAACTGCCCTCCAACCATTCCAAGTGAGGCACATAGAGGCTAGGAGTACCCAGGCATTTCCCTCTGGGCCTCACTCACCAGACATCAGCTCACAGACATGCAGAAGGACTATGGTTCAGATACTGGAACTGAGTTGATCGGGCTGCTTTAGTCTTGGCTGTGACTCCCGAGTCCCTCCCCCATCTGCCTTCCAAGAGGTCAGTGAGCTTCTGGGTGAAGGATTTGGGCTTAGTATTCATTTGTGGGTGGAGATGAGAGCCACATGCTATGTTTCTTGACATAAAGCAGGCGATACTTTATTTTTCTTGGCCTCTAAAATGACTGGTACCTTATCTCAAGTGGGGAGATTAAGCCAAATTCTTATGTTCTATGAACTCCTGGGTTGAACTAGAGAGAAAGGGTGGGGTTTTTGGTTTTTGTTTTGACTGAGGTCCTGTGTATAACTATGAAATGAGAGATTAAGACACCTCGTTCTGGCCACTTTGCCCACGTGCAGAACCCAGTCTCTCACTGTCCAAAGAATCTTCAGATTGACTGGGGAAGGAAATTCCCTTATTCCCTAAGGGCCCTGGATTAAAAGCATATGAAAGTTTGTAAGGCTTGGGACGGCAGCTTTAGCCGCTTATGTTAGAAATGCTCATTGCAGTGTGGTTGTTACTTCCCACCCGGTGTTTACAGTAATGATTTACGCTGGTTCTCCTAACTGCAAAAGTCCTCATTTGTTTATTTGGGAAGACAAGGCCGGTGTTGTCACCAGGGATACAGTGCTCTCTCAGGCTGCAGACTCAGAGGGTTCAGATTTAGCCCGTCACACCCTGGAGGGAATGCCACTACGAGGGCTTTTGGGGGTTTTTTTTGTGTTTTTTTTTCCATCCACCATGATCTTCCAGCTCAACATTAAGTTTAAAAGGTGATGGAACCAAACTAAGAGCTCGTGTATCAGATGACTAGGGGGCCTTTCTCTGTGGCTGTCCTGGGTTGGATCAGGAAAGGAATTTGCAAGAAAGCTTTGCCACAGGGAAGGTAGACATTGTCACTTAGGTCCTGGAATTCTCTGTCCCGTGTCCTTGACTAGGCGGTCTTCAGGTCTCCATCAGAAGAAAGCAGGGGTTAGACGTTGACAGTGACTTCTCTCAGATCTTCTTGATCCAAAGCAACTTGGTGACATCCAAAGTCAGTGTCACTAATGTTCCTTACCCATTTTTGTTTTTTGTTTTCTTAAGGAGAAGGGGCCTCATAAGAACAAAACAAGCTATAGGCGGCTGGCGGTTTCTCCTTCCCCTCTGACCGAGCATCTTTCACACTAATCCCTTGTCCAGATGAGAACGTCACTTCAGCTGACGTTAGACGGCTGTGAGAGGATTGAGTGGCCACTCTGGCTCCTCACACTGTCAGGAGCCAACCGTAAGCACATGTTGGCATATCCGCTCTTGTTGGCAGAAGAGAACCTGAGAGAGGTCGTGTCACTTACCCTGAGAGCAGATAGCGTGACAGGAACAGAATCAGGATCGGGCTCCAACCTGAGTGTTTAGAATGCAGCTAGAAATTATACTGGTTTAAAGCCCCGTTTGATCCATCCCCAGCAGAGAAACTAAAAGACGCACAGGGTGGTTTGCACTGCCCAGTCATTCGGTGCTAGATGGAGCTCAGCCTGCTCCTCTTCTGAACAGAAACCTAGATTGAGTGACACAAGAAAGCCGGTGGGGCAGGAGCACAGAGGACCACCCGGGCTCCTGCCCATCCGCGAGGCACAGAGAACTAACCTACAATTCTATTGGCCCCATCCGCATCAACACTAAACAACAGCGAACTCCCAGCCTCTCACCCTCCTCGCAAGTGAACACTCTTCTGAGGATTTCTCTTTGCGACTGCACCCACCTACAAGCCAGATGAATCTAGAATGAATTTTTGTTGTTGTTGTTTAGTTTCTAATCTCTTGTTTATGAGGTGTGGGGTTTATAAGGGACTGAATCAAATGAATGTAACAAAAAAGAAAAAAAACAAACAAAAAAATGCCTTTTCTCAGGGCCAGTGAGTTGCAAATAATTTTTAAAGAAAAGCCTATAATTACATCATCTCAATAAATTTTTTTATAAAAAAAAATAAAGTTCCAAGTCTCTGTTTTTAATAATATGAAATGGAGTCAGACAGGCAAGGTACTGTGATGATGTAAATCCTGTCTACTCAATTATGAAATAAAGTGCAGTCCCGGTTTCTCCTGGCAGGAAGCTGCCATTGCCCAGCAGTCTGCAGGAGAGCTTTAGACAAGAGGCCCCAGGAAGGTCACAGCAGATCACTTGAGCGGCTGCCACAGGTGGAAAAATCTGCCTGAAGGAGCTCGAGTCAGCTGTGCCAAGGATGTACCAGGTCGCTGAACGGTCGGTTGGGAGCAGGTTGAGTAACCCTGGTTGGGTTGTACCTGCAGGGTAGTCCACACAAAAATGTGAGGCCACACCCAGCCCTCTGGGAGCCTGGAAGGTCAAAAGACAGCACTCTGTCTCTGCCATACTGGTAGGACCACCAACCAGAGAGCCCCTGAGATTTCAAACTCAAACCGCACAGCAGGCTGTGATGGTACACAGGGAAGGTGGAGGCAGGAGGATCAGGGGCTTGGGGTCAACCTCAGCTGATAACACCTCCGAAGCCAGCCTAGGTTGCATGGAATCTTACCTCAAAAAATAAACTACAGATCACACACAACAGGCCCCGCAAGTATCTGTTCGCCGGCACAATGGACAGAGATTCAGAGACCATGAAAGCTGGCAAATGGCAGCCTCACAGCAGCTCAGACAGTAGGTTTGGAACACGGGAGTTTAAAATGATCTCAGAATAGGTCATATTGCTTCTCTCTTTGTGTTGTTCCAGGGTATTCCTGGGCTGGAATGCTTTAGGCTACATCATCAGAGCACCTGATCAAGTAAAGTTTAGGAAGCAGTTTCTGGGGAGCTCCATTCTCAATATGAACCATCTGGGAGTTCCTAGTAATGCAGGTTGTCAGTTGGGAATTCCATATCTGGGGTGGCGCCTGCAGAATGTCCAGGCCTCCAGGTAGTGCTGCTGTGTGCAGGGGTTTGGCACTCCTGGTTGATCTGTTCACCGAGCTACAAAGGGGCCCCCAGCCTCTGAAGTGACGGTGGTTCATTTGTATTGCGTGTACACACGGACAGTCTAAACATGTCTGAACAGGCATGGACCTCAGAACGAGGCCAGGCAGACACAATCGTACAAAACGTCGGCACGCTCCATCCAAACCTCTTTAGCAAGCAATCTTCTCTAGAGATGAGCGCTTTTGGAGAGCAGCTGGAGCTGGTGAGCTGCCCTTGCAAAGTGCACGGTCACTTATCTGCTTAGACCCACTCGCCTGTCCATTCACCCTAATCCAAAAAGAAAGGAAGGGAGCGCTGCCACCTGTCCTGTCTGTGGACTGTGGCTCTCTGTCTAGAATTACTGGCCAGAGCCTGAATGAATGTGTGGCTGGGTGTTTGCTGAGGGCTCCTCGGAGCACAAGGCTAGACCACGACTGTGCCAGCCTGAAAGTGCTTGTTAATCACCTGGGGATCTCAAATATATATATAGTTTGTTTTGACATGGCCTCAAGTAGCCCAGGGTGGCCTCCAACCCCCTATGTAGCTAAATATAACCTTGAACTTCTGACTTTCCTGCTCCCATCCCAAGTGCTGGGATTACAAGCATGACCACCATGCCTGGTTTATGCAGTGCGAGGGGTAGAATCCAGGACTTCAGGCATTCAAGGTAAGCACTCTAGCTGCTGAGTTATGTGTCCTGATCTGTGCTCCCTTAATAATGTTGTAGGACCCACATCTGTTTTAGTACAGTATCAATGGGCAGAAGAGCCTTTGTACTTACTGTAGTCTCTGCGTGGAATTTAGATTCTCTAGCCCACTGCCCCCTTTCATGCTGAAAGCTGAACCCAGGGCTTGTGCATGCCGAGCAAGTGCTCTACCACTGACCTCCATCCTCAGCATGACTCTGCATTTCAGACAAGCTCTAGGTGATGCTGCTGCTGCTGCTGGTCCTCAGAGCACACTCTAGTAAGTGCTCAGCGATTTCCACACAGGCACAAGACTCTGACCCTACTGCTAGCCTCGGCAAGCCCATCTCATCACTGGTGTTCCCTCCCTAAGATCCCTTCCTGCAAGAAGGTTGATTCTTCCCAAGGGTAGCATTGAGAATGAATGTCATAGAAAAGCAGCATTGCCAAGTAGGGGATGGTGCCATTTACATACTAGACCTGGATACGGGTGTCCATAAGCAGATGCCTAACAGCTGTCTCCCTGTCACCCCTGCCTGTCTCTTAGCCTTCACTGTGCAGATACAGAGCTAGCAGTACTGCCCGTGATGCTCTAAAAGGCGTAAGGCTTGATGGGCAGATCTTCTGTCTGGGCTGTCTATGATGTTGACATTCAAAGCATACAACCTTTGGTCAGTGTCCACACTATCAGTACTTACAGGGCTAGGAAGATGGCCCACTGGGTACAACACTTGCAATGCAGGCGTAAGGCACCAGAGTTCGGATACCCCAGAACTGGCATCCATGCCAGGTGGCGGACTGCCTGTAATCCCTGTGCTTAGACAGCAGAAGATAGAGGATCCCCTGGACACGATGGCTACCTGTGTTAGCTATCTCAGCAAGCTCTGAGTTCATCTGAGAGATCTTACCTTTATGAATAAGGTGGAAAATGATCAAGGAAGGCTGTGGTGTCAACCTCTAACCCCCATGTGTATGTGCAGAAATGCACATGAACCCTTGCACATTTGAACATGGATACACTTACTGCCTATGTATATAAAATAAATAAATAGGTGGGTTTTTTTTTATAAGAAGACACTCACCTCTACAAGAGAAGAGAAAGTCTCCGTTAGTAAAAACCACTAAAGAAATTCTGCCTGACATCTCAAACAAGAGACCACTTTCTCTCCAAACTCCCCTTAGCACTGCCCTCCAAGAATCTTGATGTGGGATTCCCCTCTGTATGCTGTGAATACCACTGGTTAATAAAGAAACTGTCTTGAGCCTGTGATAGGGTAGAACATAGGTAGGCAGGGAAAACTAAACTGAATGCGGGGAGAAAGGAGGCGAAGTCAAAGAGAGAAGCCATGGAGCCGCCACCAGAGACAGACATGCCGAATCTTTGCCAGTAAGCCACAGCCATATGGCAATATACAGATTAATAGAAATTGGCTAAATAAAGATGTAAGAGTTAGCGAATAAAAAGCTAGAGCTAACTAAAGCCAAGCAGTGATTTAATTAAACAGTTTCTGTGGGATTATTTCGGGACTGAGTAGCCCCGAACAAATTAGCAGCCTCACTGCAGCATCTTCTGAGGACTCGACCAGAGCTTTGGTCATGAGATCGTGTTCTAGTTTGACTTTCATTACTATACTAAATTACCCTGACAAAAGGCAAGTTATGGGAGAGCAGATTTATTGTAGGCCACAATTCCAGGTTCTGATCCATGACTGAGAGAAAGTCAAGGCTCCTGGAACTTAAGACAGCTAGTCACATCACATCCAGGAGCAGAGAGAGAATAAGTACACCAACCCAATGTACAGAGTCCACACTGAGACTTCTCAGGCGATTCTAGGTTGCATCGCATTGACAGCTGTGTCTAACCATCCCAGACCCCATATCAGAGAACATGTGATGTATGAATCTCTGGACAAACTAGAAATAGTCCACATGTCCTTCCATTGGTAAGTTCATAAGGTGAACACACAATAGCCACACATTATGTTATATTAAAAGAAGTCAAGATCGAGGCATTGTGCATGGCTCCATTTATACTGAAATTCTAGTCAAGACG